AATAGGAGATTACTTGAATGAATCATGCCATATCCATACAATGAAATGCTGTGTATGATGCTAGAGAAGAAAATTGACATGAAAAATGTCCGCGATATATGGCTGGGTGAACAAGCAGGTTACAACACACTGTATATAATATGATTCCAGTTTGGTTAATAAATTATACATAATAACTAACACTTACTGAACTTTAAATATAACCATATATATGAGCAAGGCACTGAGCAAAGTGCTTTGCATTAATGATTTTATCCTCATAACCATCCTATGGTGTAGGTAGCCGGTATTATGTTTTTACAGGTAAGGAAACTAGGCAGGAAAAAGGTAAGTAATTTGCCATAGTTCACTTGAATGACAGAGCTGAAATACAGACATAGATATTTTGGACTCAAGAGCCCAAATTTGCAGAAAACATGAATAGACACTTCTCTAAAGAAGACATCTGGATGGCCAACAGGCACATGAAAAGATGCTCAACGTTGCTTCTCATCAGGGAAATACAAATCAAAACCACACTCAGATATCACCTCACACCAGTCAGAGTGGCCAAAATGAACAAATCAGGAGACTATACATGCTGGAGAGGATGTGGAGAAACGGGAACCCTCTTGCACTGTCGGTGGGAATGCAAACTGGTGCAGCCACTCTGGAAAACAGTGTGGAGGTTCCTCAAAAAATTAAAAATAGACCTACCCTATGACCCAGCAGTAGCACTGCTAGGAATTTACCCAAGGGATACAGGAGTACTGATGCATAGGGGCACTTGTACCCCAATGTTTATAGCAGCACTCTCAACAATAGCCAAATTGTGGAAAGAGCCTAAATGTCCATCAACTGATGAATGGATAAAGAAATTGTGGTTTATATACACAATGGAGTACTACGTGGCAATGAGAAAGAACGAAATATGGCCCTTTGTAGCAACGTGGATGGAACTGGAGAGTGTGATGCTAAGTGAAATAAGTCATACAGAGAAAGACAGATACCATATGTTTTCACTCTTATGTGGATCCTGAGAAACTGAACAGAAACCCATGGGGGAGGGGAAGGGAGAAAAAAAAAGAGGTTAGAGTGGGAGAGAGCCAAAGCATAAGAGACTCTTAAAAACTGAGAAAAAACTGAGGGTTGATGGGGGGGTGGGAGGGAGGGGAGGGTGGATGATGGGTATTGAGGAGGGTACCTTTTGGGATGAGCACTGGGTGTTGTATGGAAACCAATTTGACAATAAATTTCATATATTGAAAAAAAAAGAGCCCAAATTTGGGGCGCCTGGGTGGCTCAGTCAGTTACGCATCCAACTTCAGCTCAGGTCATGATCTCATGGCTCATGAGTTCGAGCCCCACGTCAGGCTCTGGACTGACAGCTCAGAGCCTGGATCCTGCTTCGGATTCTGTATCTCCCTCTCTCTCTGCCCCTTCCCTGCTCATGCTCTCTCTCTCTCTCAAAAAAAATTTTTTTTAATTAAAAAAAAAAAGCCCAAATTTTACAGTGATACTATGTCTATATTTCTACAGAAAAAAAAAAAAGTCAAGAAACAGAAATACCAAGATGTTAACATTAACTGGTTATTTCTGGGTGATGAGATTGTGAGTGACTTTTGTTCCCTTTATGCTTTCCTGAGTAGTCTGAAACATTTGTGATTTACGTGGATTATGTTTATAATCAAGAAAAACAATAAATTTCCAGTTTGAAAAAAGCGAATACCAACTGTTTCCAACCTGTAAGTGGCAAACTTCTGGGGAGTGGAGGGAGTAAACTATCACAAGGGTTCTGGAAATTCCCACATGATCCAACCATTGTCTAGAATGAATAAATAAGGGGTATCTGGATGGTTCAGTCAGTTAAGTGTCTGACTCTGGTTTTCAGCTCAGTTTTTGATCTCGCAGTTCATGAGTTCAAGCCCCACATCAGGCTCTGCATTGACGAGCCTGCTAGGGATTATCTGTCTCCCTCTCTCTGCCTCTCTCTCTCTCTCTCTCAAAAATAAATTAAAATAAACATTTATAAAAATAGAATGAATAAATATGTTTGCATATATTTTTTTTCAAATGTCATATTGTATACTATCATGATGTATACCCATAGTGCTTGAGTTTATTACATATCTCTCAATCAATGAATATAAAAAATACAACTATTATCACGTGGAAGTCCATAAATTTTAAACACTAAAGCAAGGGATGGGATTTGCTGCTAAAAGGAAAAATATATGAGGGCGCCTGGGTGCATCCGACTTCAGCTCAGGTCATGATCTCACAGTTTGTGAGTTTGAGCCCTGCATCGGGCTCTGTGCTGACAGATCAGAGCCTGCTTCAGATTCTATGTGTCTCTATCTGTCCTCCCCTCCCATGTTCATGCTCTGTTTCTCAATAATACATAAACGTTAAAAATTTTTTTTAAAAAGGAAAAATATATGTATGGATCAGCTCTGTAGCCTGAGTGTCTTCTCGACAGCTTACCTCCTTTTTCTCAGAAGCAATGAGAGGAAATGGAGGGGAAATGCACAAATTATTAAAAGTTAATCCAGTAGAAGACAATTCAGAAAGATGAGAGAATATGGAGAGGGAGTGGTTGTAGGCTCAGAAAATTCTATTATGGAAAGACAGAATGCTAATCTCCCCTATATTGCCAGAGGCTAGTCCTCACCCTCAATCATAAGGATGTCAACACCTGTGTAGGGTGAGATGCTGTAATACCTGAATGCTATCATTTGCTCAAGGGCCAGGCTGCTATCCAATTAGCAGGAAGACTTGGAGTGGGGCAGGCCCTCCACATCTTTTGCCAAACTGACGCAAAGGTCAGCAACTGTCTTTCCTTTCTCTCATTCTTCCTCTCCCTTTTTGTAATGTGTCCCTTGTCTTCTGTTTCTGCACAACTTCTTGGCCCCCACTCAAGTCTCCAGGTTATACTACTCCACAGGACTTCTGTGATTTCATTATCCATAAAAAATGATCCTGATCACAAATAAGATACTGATCATTCATTCAACACTAAGGGCCTTAGGGGCAGAGGCGATGACAAATTAGATATAGTCCCTACCCCTTTTAGAAGCATAGAGACTTCAGGTGTGAAAAACAAACAGACAAAAATAAAAACAAATCTACAACTCAATTTGCTTCATTGGGCATGAAGTTACAAAAAGGTAAGAGACAGAAGTCAGAGAGAGGAATGAAGGCTTCACTTCCCCCTTCCCATTTTAGCCTGTATTTGGGACTCACCTAGGGACAAGGCTCCACACCATCACCCCTGCTTAGGGGAGCTGGTGCTGAAGCTTGGAAGACTAGCTAACTCTAAGGAAGAACAGTCTTCAACAGTCCAATGGCATGGGGAAAAAAGAGGGTGGAAGGAGGATTGTTCTGTATTAAAAGCAAATTTAGATCTTGCCAAAGGGCTCAAACTGGATGTCTGATCCAGTCCTTGAATCCAGATGTCAATCTGCAGGAAATACAGAGGAACACCATGAGCGTGCAGGAAACAAAGTCCAGGCTGCGGGAAATTCTCTAGGTCATATGTGGGTTCTTGAGGAGGTAAATAATGTCAGGAAAAGAAAGGGATGGAGGGGGAAACTGTATATGAAAACAGACTTAAACTCTTCAAAAATGCTAAGGTCATAAAAGGAAAGACCAAGAAACTATCACAGATTGGAGGAGTCTAAGGAGACATGATCACTAAATGCAATGTGAGACCTAATGGAATCCTGGAACAGAAAATGGACATGAGTAGAAAAAATTAGCACAATTCTAATACATTCTGGAGTTAATAGTAATGTACCAGTATTGATTTCTTAGCTGTGATATCGATACCATGGTTACATAAGATGTTAACATAAAAAGAAGCTGGGTGGAGGGTATAGGGGACTCTCCATACTATCTTTGCAACTCTCCCATAAATCTAAAACTTTCCAAAATAAAAAGTTTTAAAAAAGAAAAATTTAAGGAACATATCAATTTTTTAATAGGCCAGATGAAGCCATAATCTTTAAGGAAGTATGTCTGGGTAATAAAACCATAGAAATGCAAAGAAAAGATCACGCTAAATGCCAGAATAATGGTTATTTGGGGAGGAGGAAGAGGGTTGTGATTGAAATGGGGCACATGAAAGGCTTCTGGGGTTTAGTTTTTTGATGTAGTGGTGGCTGCAAGGTATTTGTCTTATAATAATTTGTTAAGCCATACATTTTTTTAGGTAGTTTTCTGTATCTAAGTTTTATTTTACAATGAAAAATTAAAGAGAGAGACTTAAGAGACATAACATTCAAATATAATCAGTAAATATTGTTTGGATTCTGATTCAAATTAAACAACTGTAAAAAGATATTTGAATGTGGACCGGATATTAGGTATTACTCAAGATTTATGAAATTTGTTAAAGGTGATAGCGGCATCTCTCTGAAAGAAAACATTCATATTTTTGTATGCATAGTGAAGTATTTAGGGGTGAAATGACATGATATCTTAGAATTGCTTTAAGATACCCAAGGCAAAAAAAGAATGGGGCAATAGATGAAACAAGTATGGCAAAATGTTCATAGTTCTTGAAGATGATCAAACAACATGAACACAAAGATAACAATTTGTTGCATTCTCCGGTTTTGTGTATATTTGGAAATTTTTGTAATAGAAAGTTAAAAAAGGAGGACATCCCCAGCCAGGCTGCCTCAGGGCAATAGTCTATCTCAACAAAAACCTAATCCCAGGTGCTCCTCACCCCACACCCCCCCAGAGCTCCATTCCCACCAGCCATCTCTCTGAGACCACAACCTCTATAATCTTCGAGTGGACTGTGAAAGGTTTTTCCCCTCTCTGGATCTCTGAGTCACTAGGACTAGATGACAGTCCTTCTTATCTTTCTTCATCCTTATGTCTTAATAATCTCAGGAACGAGTCAAAGGGCAAATGGCCAGGGCCCAGGGCTCAAACCTGATAGGGCAGGCCTTGATACTCCAAAGCCTGCCCCCTGCAGTGGGTCGTAGGTGTGGGGCAGGATAAGGAAGGGAGAAGGCAGGTAGAAATCCTTCTGGTCATATGCATTCCCTATCGAGCGAGCTTCCAGAGGCTGGTGGCACCATTGGCTGGAAGAGTGTTCTGGGATCTTTGTCTTCCTCAGGCTCCTGAGCATCATGCCTTATTTCAAACAGCCTAAGCACCTCCAGAGTCTGATGCTTCTGCAATGGCCCTTGAGCTACCTTGCCATGTGTGAGTACTGATCCAAGACTTCACGGCAAGAAGCCAGAGTGAGAGGCCAGGGCCAGGTCTGGGGTGAATTTCATGTTCATGGGAAGTCTCACCTCTAACCTGTGATCATCTCAGATGGCACCACAGAGTAAAGCCAAGGAGTCTTGAGTTCCACGAGTGCCCTGGAGAAGGAAGACATAGAGCCACAGGAGACAGAACAGGCAGAGGGGTAGAACAGGATCATGATGGATATGAGTAGACGCAGCTAATTTTAGCCACTTCTTAACCCTATCTGGAGAAGGGAAATAAGGCCCACGAATAGGCATATGATGTGTCCATGATCATAAGGAAGCATGGGTAGTGGGACAGAGAAAGCATTAGAATTACAGACTTGGAGGAATATAGCCTGTGTTTAAACCATAGAGTTTTCCATTCTTGGGAGTGGGGGTGGTAGCGTGTGGGGAGATGCTGATAATGGAAGGAATGGTGAATGGGCAAGAGGACAGGAATGATGAATGGGGAACAGTAGAGGGATGCAGATGCTGAGTGGGCAAGGTGTGGGGAGATATGGGTAGTATATGGGCAAGGAAGGATGATGGTTTAACAAGGGTTCAGGGATAATGGATAGCAAAGGAGACAGGAGACAAGAAGGAAAAGATGGTGGATGAAATGGGCTCAGGAGGTGGGGGAAGCAGGTGGCAGGCAGGGAGCAGGAGTAGAGGAATGGTAAGTGGGCAAGGAAGCAAGTGGACAGGGATGATAGGGAAGTAGACAAATAGGGCTGGTGTTTGGTACATGGTAAAGGAAATGTCTGAAGAACAAGCAGACATGGGTACTGGATGGCCAGGAGTTGGACTGTGCAGAAGGCCAGGACCAGGGGCTTGGGTAGTTTGGAGGGTTCTTAATGGGGATGCATGTGGTCACGTTCTGCCAGCAGCACAAATTTGGTCTGACCTGCTTCCTCATCAGTTTGGATCTTGCAGCCATTTTTCATTTACCTGCTATTTACATCCTTGTGGCCACTACCAGTGCTTTACTTTGTCTGGTTTTTCCTGGACTGGAAGACCCCAGAGCAAGGTAAGACTCATGGACCTAGAAAGCACAGGGCCTGTGAATGTTCCACCCTAACCTGTTACCAGGGAGTCCCACTCAACATGCCACAGGCCTCTTATCCAAGTTCTCAGAGCCACAGGAGCTGGGCCAGCCAGGACCATCTTGGGGTCTCTTCCTTTTCCACCTGTCTAGCAGAGCCATGGTCTCTCCATGCTGTTAGGAAAGCCCTGGGTGAGCAGGAGGGATGGGGTTAGCAAGACAGACACCATCCCCTACTGATATTTCTCTCTCAGGTGGAAGGCGTTCAGCTTGGGTAAGGAACTGGTGTGCTTGGACCCATATCAAGGACTATTTCCCCATTACGGTAAGTGTCTTTTCTGAAGCATCCCCAGTTCCCAAAATACTGGGCATTTATGCCAAATAACCAGGGTTGTCCATAAGGAAAATAAGCATACCAGAGAAATTTCCATGCAGGCTAGACATTCTTCAGGACTCAACATTGCTACTGGGTACTTGCTACTCCCCTAGCATACTTTGGACACCCTTGGCATGACCTACCAGATAGCACAGGCAGAAATGCAAAAACAGTTCAGTTTTACAAATATTGATTGAAAGCCTACTCTGTACCACATGTCTAGAGTACAGAGAAGTGAGTAGGATACAATCTGCCATCAAGGTGCTCACATCTAATGAGGACAGACATGTATTTATGGTTTGGTACAAGGTCCACAAGTAGTTCAGATGAGGGGTAAGAAAAAGCTTCACAGACATGGTGATATTCAAGCAGGGTTTTCAAAGTTCAATAGAAGTTACTTGGGCAGAAACTGGAAGGGGGCTGGGAAGAGAAAATATCAGGAAGAGGTTCTAGAAATGTACTGCTATGCTGATCCTCTGAGCATTCTTTGGAGTAGACAACAAACACTGCCTCAATTTTTAGAGCAGAGCTTTCTGACTTTTTCACACAGCAGCACTCAGACAAAATGATACCATGCATGAAGTGCACTGAGATAAATGGCCGAAGGTACTTGCAGCTGTAGGCAAGAGGCTCAGCAGTTCTAGCTGCCATAGATCGTGCTTGGTTTCCAGGGGCTGAGGAGACCAATATCTTGGCCCCTGAAACCCACTCATGGCCTACCTATATGTTGAAAAGCTCTGATTTAGAGAGTGCCCTGATCCCTGAAGTGTCTTCACTCTTGCTTCTTCATGTGATCTCATTTCACTTCTTTCCATGGCTGCAGATCCAGAAGACAAAAGATCTGTCACCTGAGCACAACTACCTCATGGGAGTTCACCCCCATGGCCTTTTGACCTTTGGAGCCTTCTGCAATTTCTGCACTGAGGCCACAGGCTTCTCGAAGATCTTCCCAGGCATCACTCCCCACTTAGCCACACTGTCTTGGTTCTTCAAGATCCCATTTGTTAGGGAGTACCTCATGGCCAAAGGTACTTCTGACCATACTTACTGGAGCTTCTGGCCCATTTCTCTGCTGAGAGATGTACCTTTTTAAGCCCCACCCCCACCTCTCAACCACATCTCACCCACTCCCATCATAGCATAGTAGTTAAAAGCGTGTCCAGGAGCTAAACTGTCTGGGTTTGAATCCTGGCTTTGCCACCAACTGTGTGGTCTTGGGTAAGCTACTGTACCCCTATTGGTCTCCGTTTCCTCATCTGTAAGGTGACATTGATGATAATAATCCAACCTCAGATTTGGTGTGATGCTATATGAGATAATACAAGTAAAGCTTTCAATATAGTACCTGCCACAAGAGTATATGGTCAGTAAAGAATAACTTTTGCCATTTAGTGGCAATAGAGGACAAGAAAAGAGTAAGATTACATTTGGGATTCAGAAAGTCCTTCTGGTTATCCCTCTGGAAACCTTCCTACTATAGTTTTGACCCAGTGCCTCCTACGAAGAAGAAATATTGCCTCAAAGTGAAACATGTTGGGTTTTCCCACAGCCTTCATTTCTCCACACCCTTTGTCCCATCTCATTGACTCTCCTCGTAGGACTCATAGGAACAGTGGGCAATCACAATGAGGAGTAAAGCAGAGGATGTTCCGTCTCAGCCATTTTCCCCTCTCCTTATTTTGCTCCTCTCTCTGCTCCTTGATTCTCTTTAGGTGTATGCTCTGTGAGTCAGCCAGCCATTGACTACCTGCTAAGCCATGGCACTGGCAACCTCGTGGGCATCGTAGTAGGAGGGGTGGGAGAGGCCCTACAAAGTGTGCCCAACACCACCACCCTCATCCTCCGGAAGCGCAAGGGATTTGTGCGCACAGCCCTCCAGCATGGGTAGGTGTTTCTCCCAGGGCAGTGGGGGTGGCTTTCTCTGAGCAGCATGACCTGTTCTGTGATGCCAAGATGAATCAGATCTGAGTCTTGCCCTCATGGAACTTACTAGTGCATAGGGGAGACAGGCATAGAATTTTAAAAAGGTTTACATCATCCCCTCCTTCTGACCTAGCTGGACCAATTCTCAGGAAACCAAATCAGAAACCCAGATTCATTATCAGGGGGCTTGGCTAGGACTCTCCTAGAATACAGCTAATGCCCACATCATCTCTATCAATATCGATACCTACATCTGTTTGTTATTGGTAAGTGCAGGGGGCAGAGCACTATGGTGAGTACGTGCATAATATCTGAAGTCAGGGGGCCTGATTTGAAATCCTGGCTCCAAAACTTACTGTGCAGTCTGAGACAGGTTACCTAACCATTCTGAATCTTGGTGTTTTAATTTTCATAATGTGGCTACTAATAATTGTACCTACTCCATAGGGTTATTGTGGGGAGTCATCCACTTAAAACACCTACATGTGTCTGGCACACAGTAAGTGGTGGATAATTATTAGCCACTCTGACTTAAGGATAAAGAGAGGAGATAAAGAACAGGTGCCCAAAGCTGGAGCTGTGGGGTGTACCATCAGGTCAAGGGGCCAGCCCACTGGACACAAGGACAATTGCCCTATTGCAGACTCAGGGAAAAGGGAAGTAGTTCTTCTAGGGACCTTGCCTGAGTGGCCTGTTCATCGATTTGGAGCATAATGTAGGGGAAAGAGTTCTAAGCTGGAAGGAAAGAATCCTGGGTTCTAGTCCAAGTCCTGACACTCACTCACTGCCTGAGTGCCCTTTCCCCTTCAGAACCTGGGCTTCTGGATCTGTAAGGTAAAGAAAATAGGCCCCCTACTGTGCTCTGCACATTCTCTGCTGTGAGGGACCAGTAAGGTAACATACATCAGAGTGCTGAGAGATTGTTACTAATAACTCACAAAGATTTGTATAAGACAGACAGTGCTCTCTTTACCCTTCTCTCACAGGAAGACGTAAGGAGCCTGATTCTGTATCTAGAGCACTGTCAGGGTGGATATGGATGGCTTGAGAGGAAAACAACTTTTCTCTGCTCTAATCTCAAGGGCAGAATACCTTATGAATAGTCCCTGTGGGTGAGGGGCATATCATATATATATATGCATTTGTTCAATATCATCATCACCTTCTCTATGCTTCCTACCAGTAGAAACAGAGTCAGATATTTCCCTACAGGACACCTCTTGGAAGCTTTTCTTTACATGATGTGGGTTTCTGGGGATCTTTGCCCAAACCCCTCATCCTTCCCTACACCCGCATATCTTGCCCTTGTGATCCTGGCCCAGAGATAGCATTCTCACTGGCCTTGAAAATTTCAAGACAAGAGATAAATAAATATGGAAGTCTTGTTTAGTGCAAGAAGAAATGCTTTATGTCACAGGGATTTTATATAGATGGGAGTCTGGCCAGGAGCAAATGTTCTTCCTGGGCAGTTCTCACCCTAGCCTGTGTTTGAGAAATAAATTGAGGTTTTCCTTCAGGGCTCATCTGGTCCCCACATTCACTTTTGGAGAAACTGAGGTATATGATCAGGTGCTATTCCATAAGGACAGCTGGATGCACAAGTTCCAGAGCTGCTTCCGCAGTATCTTTGGTTTCTATTTTTGTGTCTTCTATGGACGAGGTTTCTGCCAAGGCTCCACCGGGCTCCTGCCATACTCGCTGCCTATCGTCACTGTGGGTGAGTGCTGCTCTCAGCCCCAAGGCCACCTCAGCTCTTTCTTGACTTCAGCTTCAGCCCTCCCCACCCCACCCCCCACCAAAGAAAAGGGCAGCAAAGAGGGAGAATCTGGGAGCTAAGTTGGCATGTGAGAGGATCCTGCCCAGGGAAGGAGAAGGAGGTTAAAGAAAGAGAAGATTCTAACACTTGCCCCTTCTCTTTTCCCATCTATCTTGGCAGTTGGGGAGCCTCTGCCACTGCCCAAAATAGAAAAACCAAGCCAGGAAATGGTGGAAAAATACCACACACTCTATATGGATGCCCTGTGCAAACTGTTTGACCAGCATAAGACCCAGTATGGCTGTTCAGAGAACCAAAAGCTGCTTTTCCTGTGACTGAATGGACTGCATGGTCAAGAGCATGTGCCTTGGAGAAGAGACTCATTTGCTACTAACCAAAAGGGGGAGAAAAGGAGATAAGGGAAGGCAATGTGTGGTAGGGGAGGACATTAGGTATTCCTTCCTTGCCCCAAAGCCCTTATAGTTGCTGTCCTGAGGAGCTTCACTTAGTATTTCTGCAAAAGGAGGCATCCTGAGGCCCCTCAGGTCCAACCACAGGCACAGGCAATCTTCCTACTTCTCCCCGTACTGGCTTTCCTCCCTGAACCCAACCCCCCAGGTCCTGAAGGACTGAAATGAAAGCCAAACAAGCTGAGTAGCCACCTCTCTTGTTGTTGTTGTTATTTTGTCATAATGCATTTTCTCATTGGGAATTTTTGCATACCATAAATTTAACCTGTTTAAAGTGTAAAATTCAGTGGTATTTAGTATATTCACAGAGTTGTGCAACCACTATCACTAATTTTAGAACATTTTTTCAGCACCCCAAATAAGAAACCCAGTACACATTAGCAGGCACTCCCCATTCCCCTATCTCCCCCAGCCCCTGGCAACCACTAATCTACTTTCCATCTCTACCAATTTGCTATTTCTGGACGTTTCATATAAAGAGAATAATAGACTATGTGGGTTTTTAGGACTGGTTTCTTTCTCTTAGCATGTTTCTAAGATTCTCCCATGTTGTAGCATGTATCAGTACTTCACTCTATTTAGAGCTGAATAATATTTCATCGCACATATACACAGCAGTTTTTATTCATTCACCAGTTGATGGAGTTTTGGGTTGTTTCCACTTTTTGCCTACTATGGATAACACTGCTATAAACGTTCATGTACAGGTTTTTGTGTGGTAATCGGCTATCTCCAAATATAAAGGCTTACCTTATCTCCACACCAATAAGCTAACAAGCATGCCTTTCAGATAGATCAAAAGCAACTTACTCAGGATTACTTTTCATTTGGCAGAGGCATTTCACATAGGTCACCTTGTCCTCATGTTGGTCCTCTAACACGATAATCCCGATAATCCCAAGGTATTTGTTACCATCCTAAGAGTATACTCTGGGGAATCCACTTTATATTTTAAAGTCTTACTAAGTTCTGTTTAAATGTTTTTTTAAGCTGTATTCTGAGAATTGAAAGAGTAAATAAAAATACAGATGTCTTTTCCTTCACAAGGCAACCAACAAAAGACACACTTAAAAACACAGCAAAGGTACACATCTGAAACTAACATAGTATTATAGTATTCTATTATAGTATTGACTATACTAAAAAAAACATATCAAAGGAACAAAAGTTAAAAGACCATTTAGAAACCCATACAACTTAATATCAAAAAATCAAATAATATGATTTTAAAGTGGGCAACGGACTTAAATAGACATTTTTACAAAGAAGAGACATCCAAATGTCCAACAGGTACATAAAAAGATGCTCAACATCACTAATCATCAAGGAAATGCAAATAAAAACCACAATGAGATATTACTTCATACCTGTTAGGATGACTACTATCAAAAAGAGAAAAGATAAGTGTTGGCAAGGATTTGGAGAAAAATGAATCTTCTTGCACTATTGATGGGAATGTAAATTGGTGCAGCCACTGTGGAAAATTGTATGGAGGGTCCTCAAAAAATTAAAAGTAGAGCTATCTTGTGATTCAGGAATCCTACATCTGGGTATACATAGGAAGTGAAATAATTATCTTGAAGAGATATCTGCACCCCCATAGTCTGTGCATCATTATTTACAATAACCAAGACATGGAAACAGCCTAAGTGTCCATTGAGAGATGAATGGATAAATAAGATGTGGAATATAATGGAATATTATTCATCAAAAAAAGAAGGAAATCCTGCCATTTGCAACAACACGCATGGACCCTGAAAGCATTATACTAAGTGGAGTAAGTCAAACAGAAAAAGACAAAAGCAGTATGATCTCACTTATATGTAGGGGAAAAAAAGCCAAACTCATAAAAACAGTGTATTGAATGGTGATTTCCAGGGGCTGAAGAATGGGGAAAATGGGGAGATAGTGGTGAATGAATACAAACTTCCAGTTATAAGATGAATAAGTTCTGGGAACCTAATGTACTGCATGGTGATTATAATTAATAATAATGTATTATATACTGGAAAATTGTTAAGAAAGTAGATCTTAAATGTTCTCACCAAAAAAAAAAATTATGATTATGTGAGGTGATGGATGTGTTAACTAACCTTATTGTTATCATGTTGCAATATATATGTGTATCAAATGTTGTACACCTTAAACTTACACAATGTCAGTTATATACCAATAAAGTGAAAAAAGGGAAATTTTAGATCAGGCTTTTTTTCCTTTCCTTAATCCTTAAATATTCAGTTTTGGTGGGGCCCCAACCAATTCTCTTCAGTCTGAAATATCTATTTCTAACCCAGTTTCACTCATAAGTTATTTCCCTCAAAACCAATATATCCAACTTAACAGTCTTTAACAAACATTTTAACATCAACATACCCAATGGCAGGTGAAACACCTTCCCCTTCCTATTCACATTTTATTGCCAAGTCCTATTAATTTTACCACCTGAATATTAATCCAACATGCTCTCTTCTCTTCTCCACTGTCACAACCTAGTCAAAGCCCTCACCAACATTCCTAGACAATTCCATTCCTTCTACTAAAGTCCTCTCTAATCAATCCATTCATCACACTGGTGCCAGAGTGCTCTTACTAATGTGTAACACTGACTTGTTAGTCCTCTGCTTAAAAGCCTTTTTTGTTCATACAGTGCTTCTCCCAGCATATCCTGAATTATGTTCTGGGTACCATTAATGTCCCATCAAAGTTAATTAATATTGCACAGAAAAAATTATTAGGTGGTTAAATAACTGTGGGAGATGCTAGATTAAACAGAGTTAGATGTATTTACTGAAATATTTTCAGAATCTTCACTACACTAATGGGCATTGTGACTATCCAAGAGGGAGTATCTAACATTCCCAAACAATGGAACACTTGTTTCAAATAATACCTATTACCATCTCATGGAACATTTAGGGCTTCTCTAAATACAATCTTGCAAATGTTGGTCTACAAGATAAAGTTCAGACACCTTGGCATGGCAGAGAAGGCTGCTGGTAATATAAAGTGGCTGATTTGATTTTGGAGTCTATCAGATTGGGAGAAGCCTTGGTAGGAGCCATTAGGGCTAACCAAATGGGTCAAAACCTCATAAGGGGTGACCCATAGGTAACTGAATAAAAGGAGGAATTGGATTTGAATGGTTCTCATCTGTTTGGGTTGTCCAGGAAGAGCAAACTACAGCAGAATTTTTCTAGAAAAGAGTCTCAAGGGCACACATGAGAGTGAGGCTATACCTTAAAAAAGTAAACAAACAAACAAAACACAGAGATTCAAGTTTAAGCCTTTGCTTTCTTATTAGCATCAGCCACTTGCTTCTTAAAATTTCAGTCCTCCCATATATTTTCTTCTCACCTTCAGCCTCCACCCCACAATGCAATCTCTTTTTCTCCCTATCTCTCCTTCTCCCTCCCTGAATATTTTTGAGATACTCTAATACTCTAAACTTTTGCTCCTCACTCTGGATGCCAGTAACTTCGCAGGAGGTGAACATACATATTCATCTTTTAAGCCCACATCAAATATCATCTTCTCAGTGAAGCCTTCACCAGGCACAATTAATAACCCCTTTCTCCATTCTTCCATAGCCTTTTGTTGGCTCTACGACAGAACTCAATTTTGTCAGTCTTTACTCAATGGCTAACCCCATCAAGGGTGTAGACAAGATAAAAGATGAATACAATGATATTTTACTATGGTCTCTTTATCACATCTATCCATCAATCCATCTTGTTTTTAGGCACTTCAAAGTAGCAGACAGCAGTATACCTTGCCCAAAAATACTTCAGCATGCATATCATTAGGTAGAGTTAATATTTGTTTACAGTCTTATTTTTTTAGGTAAAGTTTACATACAGTTAATGCACAAATTATAAGTGTGCCATATTATGGGTTTTGACAAACACATACATGTACATAATATAAACCTCTATCAAAACATAGAACATTACCATTACGCAAAAAGTTCCTTCATGCTTCATCCCTATCAATACTTGCCCTAAGCCACCGCCCAGGCAACTTTTCACCCTATATATTAGTTTTTCCTGTCCTAGACTTTCATATAAATGGAATCATACTGTATAAATTCTTTGTGTCTGGCTTTTTCATATAGCATAATGTTTTTGAGATCCATCTATACTGTTGTATGTATCTGTGGTTCATTCATTGTTATTACTATCTAGTTTAAGTGGACCTCAGTCTGTTTATCCATTCTTCTGTCAATGGGTGCCTGAACTATTTCCATTTTGGGGCAATTATAAATAAAGCTGCCATTCTGTACTACTATAAAGTTACTCTTTGTTCTCTCTTTCCATTCCACACTCTTTGGAAAGAAGTCTATGCACACACAGCCCACACTTAAGGAGTGGGGAGTTATGCTTCCTTTCCTTGAGGGTGGAGAACCTAAATAAATTATTTGGGATTCTTCTGTACTAGAGATTTGTCTCTAGCAATTAAAAAAATTTATGAAGTCTAATTTATCAAATTTTTGTATGGTTGTTGTTTTCTGAATCCTAAGAAAACTTTTCGTATCCCATGGGGATCTCTTTGTTTGTCCATATCTTCTGATCCAAATGTGGTGCTTTTGCACTAATACAAAATGAGTTTTTACAGATGGCTAACACACATATGAAAAGATGTTCAACATCACTCATCATCAGGGAAATACAAACCAAAACTACAGTGAGATATCACCCATACCAGTCAGAATGGCTAAAATTAACAACACAGGAAACAACAGATGTTGGCAAGGATGTGGAGAAAAGGTAACCCTCTTACACTGTTAGTGGGAATGCTAACTGGTGCAGCTACTCTGGAAAACAGGATTAAGGTTTCTCAAAAAGTTAAAAATAGAACTATCCTATGATCCAATAATTGCACTACTAGGTATTTACCCAAAGGATACAAAAATACAGATTCGAAGGGATACATGCACCCAGATGTTTATAGCAGCATTATCAGCAATAGCCAAAATATGGAAAGAAATCAACTGTCCATCAGTTTTGTAACTGAGCTTTTTTAGAAAGGAGTTTAATGTGTTACAAAAGTTTACTAGGGGAGAGGCACCTGGGTGGCTCAGTTGGTTGAGCATCTGACTCTTGATTTCAGATCAGGTCATGATCTCATGGTTCCTGAGATCAAACCCCAAGTTGAGTTCTGTGCTGGCAGCACAGAGGCTGCTTGGGATTCTCTCTCCCTCTCTCTCTGCCTCTCCCCTGCTCATGCTCTATCTCTTTCAAAATAAATAAAAATATTTAAAAATTTTTACTAGGGGAAAACAAGCTTTTAAATCAGAAGTAAGCCAAACCATATGTAACAGACTGACAGTATCTTACCCAATACCCATTATCTCAATCTTCCTTACTCAGAGAACCCCAATTTTATTTGGGGCAGCAATAAACCCAACTTCCCAAATACACAGCTCAGAGTGGCCATATGACATAGCTCTAGACAATGAGATTTAAGCAGAAATCTACAGAGGGCAGGGGGAGTCTG